GAACTCTGATCCCTTATGTTATAATGGTGTTACAGCTTAATGGTGTGTTGGCTGGTCTCTTCAGACTGTCAGTACCCCACAGCAGAGATGATGGTTTCTGTGTTTTTAGAACTTTCCCTATAACACTTAGTACAAGATGATCTATGCATTGTAAAACCTTGAGAAATACTTCTCCCCACCCCAAACAAATGAATGAATGGGCAAAATCTAAATGCAGTATCATCTTAGGTGTCTCTAACTCAGCTATCTGGCAGATTTACCTCTCTGGTACATAACAGAAAAGGACTAGAAAGTGTGCAAAGAAAATGCACAGGGTCATAGAGTGATTATTGGAGTTAACATTTATTTTATTGAGAACTTATTATGGTCCCAGCATTGTTCTAAGTCCTTTAGGTGCTTTATTTCACTTAATCCTCACATCCCTGGTTGGTTGTCATATTATTACTATTCCACAGATAAATACATAATTTGCCTAAGGTTCTAACCCAACTCTGTGTCCTGAAGCCCATGCATGTAACCACTGTGCACGTCAGCTCTCCAAAGACAGGATGCTATATGTATTGACAAGCTCTCTTCAGAACTCACAGACACCGTTTCCCTTCTATTCATTCAGTATTTTTTAAAACTTTTACTTTGCGCACAGTTGTAATGCCCAAGCATCTCATTCTCCAAACCTACAACAGAGTCAAGGCAGCAGATGGGAGAAGCTTCATCATAGGCTATTTCATAAGATGTTAATTTACAACTTGACCAAGCAGTTTGTTCATTCATTTGTTCCTTTTTTCTGTTCTTTCTTTCCTTTTTTAAGGAGACAAAAATGATGGTGCTAGAAGGATGTTAGCCTGGGGCTATTCTGGGTTTGGCAAACTGCTGTATAGTATGTGTCCTCCAGAAGACTGGCTGTACTGTAACTCAAGGCTACTGATAACTAGTAACGATAAAATCCTCAAGGAGAGCTCATGTTCACTGTGTTCAAAACAGAAGTTAAGGAGGTATGGATTTGATGTTAAAATATTCTCTTCTAAAAATATTATACTCAAATAAAGACAAGAGCTTAATAAAAGAACTCAGATATCTGGAAAATCCAGGGCCCTGGAAAGCATAGCCTATCTTGCAGACTAGTTTCCAGACATTTAGATTTCATGGATGAGGAAAAAAAATAATAAAGCAGAGGTGGGAGACCCAGTATAGGTGTGTGTTAAGTGTTAATTCTGCTAGGTAAAAATATTTAAAGAGAGCAGCTACCATCTTCATCAGCTTCCTCCAATTGAATTAGGGCCACTCAAGGAATCAAAGAAATACAGGAAGGACTTTTTGAAAACAAACAGAGCAGCAAGAGTCATTAGTGAGGATTTTACAAAGGGCTCAAATACTGATGGTTATAGCGATTACTTATTTGATTAAATAAATCTCTAGCAGAACTCTTCTTATGCCAAGTCCTGTGCTTGGCATCAAGTAAAACAAATAAACATTAAAGAAAGCAAACAAAATAGCATCAGATATGGTCCTAATTGGGTAGAGTATGGCTCAACTGAAAATTCGCAGATTTAGAGAGATGTTCAGCATAAGGGAGATCCTGGTTCTGGGTCTCAGAACAGGCAGCTAGCCCTGGAATTGCTAACAAGGTGATGCACATGGCATTCATTCCCCAAGAGGGCCAAGGAGCAGAAGAAAAAAACCCCAACTACGGGAGTCCTGACCTTCAGCCACAGGAGCTGATGGGTCCTGAGCGCATCTGAGTCAGTGAATTATCTTTGAAAGTCTTGGAGGATGGGGAGGAGTTGCAGTTTTGGGAAGAGAGTGTCAAGGACGGCCTTGTACTCACTGAGATCAATGCATTCAGTGTTGCCACTGTGAAAAAGCTTGATTATCAAATACTTGCAGGGAAATTAAAGTTGGGAAAAAACAGCCATGGGAGATATTTCAGTGGTTTTAACTGGGCCTTAACTCACAAAAGGTTAAGGACTAAATTCTGGGCTTCAATTCTGAAGCAATTGTTCACATCCCATTCTTTTCTTCAAAAAGGAATTCAAGCACCTAAGGAGGGTTGGATCACATTTACACACAGCCTGTGATGCTACGCTCTGTCTCTTGTCCCCCAAACAAAGCTTCAGTTTTAATCAGACCAAGCTGCTAGGCATCCTGCTGTTCTTCAGAGCAGTGTCTCTTCCTGCTTCTATATGCTTGCTGTTCCCACCTTCCCCTAACCCTGGCTGCCCTGCAGGGCTCGCATATTTTCCTTGAACCCTCAATGTGTCACTGCCCTTTCCTTTAAACTTCCCTGGCACCCAGCACTCAGTTCATTGCCTTGCCTAACACTGTTCCATGTGTTTTATTCTTAGTCTTTAACTTGACTATAAATCCTTTGGAATAAAGAGTTAATGTCTTCAGGCCAGTTCCCTAAATATTTATGAGGGCCAAAGAAGCAACAAGCACTGTGCTAGGCACTTAGTAGGAATAAAGAATTGAACAAGTTTTGACTTCATCTTTCAAGGAATGTACCATCTAGTGTGGGAGGTAGAGAAGCTTCTTAGTAGTTCACGGAGGACTATATCTGATGTTATAATAAAAGGGTTCTGGAAGCACCAAAAAAGGAGAGTGGTAAATTTTGATAGTGGGTGGGAGTTAGAAAACCTTGAA